TCAGAACCTGCCTCAACATCTCAACAGCTTCAACGTTTTGAAAATTTAACACAAATTTCAAAACAGGGAAAAAAAAGGAAAAGGGAAGAAGATATCTACACGTTACCCTTCAGAAGACTATTCGATGGAGAGATATACGACGATCAAAGATTGGATAACAAGAAATCCACCCGGGTAAGGAATTTAAATTTTATGATGTCAACTTTAATATTATAATTTTCATTTTATTTATTTCATAACAATTTTGCTTATATTACATAGTTCATATTGGCAAGCTGGAGGCAGCGATTTATATGGAAGAGACACATTGAAAAACTTATTGGATATAACAAAAGATATCAATATTGCGGTTAGTTAACTAAAGTTTAATCATATATATATATATATTGTATTAGAACATTAACTTGGAATTACAGTTACTTAGACAGTCGATTAAGAATGGTTGCACCATCCTTTCTAAAGAATATGCAATTATGGACTTTGAATTTCAAAATGAATGTGATCTTCATCACTTTCAAATGATAAATGAAAGATGAAACAGCGGACCTATAGACGTCACTCGTTTAGAAGGATACGTAAATGGCACCTTCCCAATCGTTGGTTGTGCATGATGCGGTGTAATTATTAATTAATTCCATGTTCACGGCCAGTCAGTAATTAGTATCTTTTTCTGGTTGATTTGTGTCAATGGAAATTTCAAATATATGATTGTAATTGATACACTCATTCGGGACCTAAAATAAGAATATTTGATACTTATTTTGATAAAAATATATTCTAAATTGTTGTATTTTATATTATATAGGTAAAACTCTTTGACTGGAAAATGAATTGAAGAAAGAAGCGAGAAATGGTGGAAAATGGCAAAATCCAAAGTCAGAGGACCAAATTGCAAATACTCAATAGTTGATTCGGACCAAAAGATGATACTTGAAAGATTTTTATGAGACAATTGGATGGAGTTAGAATTCAAAAATGAATGGAATATGATAAACATCAATTTCCAATCGCACAAGTTATATTCCAGATTTCTAGTCGAAGATTGAAACCGATTTATGGCATAGTAGACGTCCGAATTGGGTGATAAAGGCATTTTTTATACGTTTATTTTGGTTCATAAACATGAATAATTCTCGATAAACATTCGGAATAGGGCTTAATTTGTGTGAATTGTGCTTGTAGGGCAACAATGAAGATTATGGTGGAAATTAGAGGAAAAGTAGAGAAAATGGGCCAAAACGTAGGAAAAAAAAAGTTCAGGGACCAAAATTTAAATAATCAAAAGATGACCCGATGCCAACTCAAGAGAGAACATGAGATTAATCATACATTGAGGAATGCATGGGATGATTGGAGGAAAATAATGAACAAAAGAGGTCAAGACAAGAGAAGAATGAAGTTGGAGGACCAAAATGAAGATATGTGATAGTTGTTTATACCTTTCGGCCGCAAGGTATAATCTTCCATATGGCCGCAAGCAAGGATGCAGGGAAAAAAAAAGTGGAAAAAAAGTTGTTCCTTGCGGCCGCAAGGAAGAAAATCGGCGCGAATTTTCTGGTTTCCTTATCCGACTCCAACTTGTATGGTAATGATTCTAGGGCAAATATAAAAGCTAAAATACATCCAAAAACTAGGGTTATGCCTTCCTAGAGAGAAAAACAACCTTTTTGGAGCGAGAACGAACGCAAGGACGAAGAATTTCACTCCAAGATCGAAGATTTCAAGCTTTACATTCAAGAATTGGGTGATGTCTTCTCCTAAATATTTTTCTAGTTCTTTAATTTTATCTATGCTAGGCTATATTTTCATTGTATTTGGAGAACGATGATCCTTGCTATGTGAACGTTTAATTCCTTATTTTGC